CAGAAGCTGGGACAAGTCACGGGAGCTCACTCTGTTATGTGGCACTTAGGGATTCGAACCATCAACCTTTCTGATTGACAAGCTCAGTATCTTAGCCACTGAGCCACTGCATCCCACACACAACCATTCGCCCGCCCCAAAATGGTTTTTCCTGACAATAACATTATGTGTTTCACTGGTCAAGGAGGATTCCTCGATTTCTCTAGCCCTTTTGCTAAATATTTTTTAACTTGGAAGGCTGGTGGACTTCAACTCCCAGAATTCCCCACTCCCCGCCTCTTTTTAACACGGAAATGGGAAATGGCCTCTAAAATGGGCGAGGTTGCCCTTCGTGTCTTAACGCTGAGGTCTCACCTGCGCAAATGCCAATAATGATACGGCAAATGATGATCACTTCGAAGGTCTTGGCTACCTTGGAGATCCCCATGAGGATGGCAGGGATGATGGAGAAGATGTTGTTGATGAGGAGGGTGCCTTTCCTGGAAAGGAGGAGAACATCTCAAGAACTTCAGAAGATTCAACCTGGAGCTCTAAAGGATGAAGGTCTGGCCTTCAACCTTCTTCCTCTTTAGACAAGACCATCCCAGGAGGTCCTCTTTGCTTCGACATTCAACCACACCCAGGAGGAAAGACAAGCCAGATGTTTCTCCTGGCACTGTGGATGTTTTCTATCTCCCAGGCTAGCAGGAGCCTCACACCCGGCCCAGGATGCAAATTGTGCAAACAAAGAAGAAGGAAACCTACCTGCCACAGTTGTTCACCATGGGCCCCACCATCAGCGATCCAAAGAACCCCCCAAGTGGGAAGAAGGACACACTCAGAGACCAGAGGGCGGTCATCAAGCTCTCGTCCATATATTTACTGTATCGTCCCTGGTAGGTCTCATTATAAAACTGTTGCATGAACTGGAAGGATAGATGGAAGAAAGGACCAATTAGAAAAGGACCAACAAGAACCCCAATTTGTGGTGGCGGGGACCTCCAATGGGTTGGGTACCCATCATCCTCAGCCAGCAAAATTTGAAGGCTAACAGTACAAAGTACCTTAGTTGGCACAAGTGGATTTAAGGAATATTAAAAGTATGTTATTTGACCTGAAACAAGTCCCCACTCACAGGTATTTCTTTCTCTTAGAAAATTCTATTTCATATCAAGCACCACAGAGCAATTAAAGAGTACAGTCACCATGTGTTTTACTGCTCAACTGCATGACTGTAACAAGAAACTCTACTAAAAGAAACCATAGATCAGTGATGGTGAACCTTTTTCGGCTCGCGTGCCAAAAGCGGGGGGAGTGCAGGGCGGTTGTGAATGGGCGTGCCACACCCACAATGCTGTGTGCACGACCCCAGGATGCATCCATGCATGAGCAGTGCTCCCTCCATTTTTGGCA